CAACTGTATTAGACCATTCACCTAGGTGGTCAAGTCCTTCATGCAGAGTTTATTCATCATAAGTGTTTCTGATGGGTTGCCATATCTTAATATCATCTGCAAATAGGACTCCATTCCTGACGATTCCATGCCTACAGTCATTGACGTAGAGTAAGAACAGTAATGGCCCAAGAACGGAGCCCTGAGGCACTCCACTAACAACTGGCACTGAAGGGGATTTCGCGTTTCCAACGCACACGGACTGTGATCGACCTATTAGGAAATATCCTAACCAATTTAGTAAATTGCCCCTTACCCCGGATTCGTCAACCTTGTGGAGTAGCTGTTGGTGTGGGACACTATCGAAGGCTATTTTGAAATCTATATAAACAACATCGACAGTGGTATTCTCGTGTAATGACCTGGACCACTGCTCTATTGAATAAAGCGTATCGGTCAGACAGGAGTGGTTCCATCGAAATCCGTGTTGGGCACCATCAAAGAAATATTTTTCTTCGAGAAACTTCATGGTGGCCTTTTTAATAATCCTTTCCATTACTTTGCAGCAAATGCAAGTTAGACTCACTGGTCGATAGTTGTTCACGCTGGTTCTGGATCCACCCTTGTGAATAGAGTATATGTTCGCAACCTTCCAATCAGATAGGAGGAGGCCTCGATCCAAGGACAATTGAAAAATGTGCGTAAGTGGTCTGGATAGTTCCGAAGCCAGCTCTTGCAGTATTGTTTGATTGCAGGCGACTTCAATCTCCCTAAAGTACAATATTTTCTACCCTCCGGTTCTTCACATTTCGAGAACTTACTTGAGGCTGTAGATATCGGCATCTGGGATTGGGTAGTCAATTTTCCCACCCGAGGATCAAATATACTTGACCTAATTTTCATTAGAAGATATGAACCACTGTCAGTGTCATCTTTAGATGACCATCTTACAGTTGTTACTACACTAGAATAGGATGCCAAAGAAAGGCTCTCCAAAAAATTTCGATTTTTCCATGACTTGCGGTCAGCAAATACGGGAGAATTACTGACACATCTTAATTCCCTCGACGCGTCTGACTTTTTCCTATGTTTGGATATGAATATTTGCACGGATACACTGTACATAGTTTCGGATCCACTCATTTACCATTTTGTTCCCAGTAAGAAAATAATACATGTCAAGAATGAAGTCTAACTTTCTCTATATTTCCGCCGTAAGCTGCGTAGACTCACACGTCGTATGCTTCAATAGAAGGACACTTCCGTTCTGTACTTGATCCAAATGAAATTTGAGAAGGCAAAGAAGCTCACCGAAGCAAAGCAATCAGTCGATGAGGTCAACTTCGATGAAAACAACCCGCTAAAGATTGTAAAACTCTTTTCGTGTACAGTAGAAGCGCAGAGAAAAGCGCAGCACCTCATATTTCGAGACACCTTAAGAAACCCCATAGTTGACGCTAAGTTGACCTCTGATAGCTCCAATGGGTTCCCATCCAGAATTTTCAGTGAAAATTCGGTCGCTGCGCTTCCGACCATCCGGGTTTGGACGGGTGCCGTCGCCGAAACAATAAGTTTTACCCTTTTGGACGTGACCTTAGCCATTCGTCGTTTTTGTCAATCTCATAGTCCCGAACCACATGGCGCCCCAGTAAGCCCTCTAAAAGCTGAAGAAACTGATATTTTCCGTCTCTTCTGTGTAAAATGTTTAATCTTGCTCTTGGAAGCGAAACTTTTCCGATGTAATGGAAGGAATCGCACATACTGTCTATACCTAAGCACGGCTAATCTACGTCATTGGACGACTTTAGTGTTAGGGCGGAGCTTAACTCAAAATGCACGCCGCCCTAACGACGCGAGACC